TTGTATGGCATGTATTCCCAGGGGTTTCTCCATGTTTGAATGATTCACACACGTCCGTAGGTGGGTATCTGCAGCTGGTGCATGGTGGGCCAATTGTGTCATTATTTCTCTGTGTCATAGTACTTCTCAACAAAGTGGCTTCCTGTGTGCTGGAGCCCCTCCTCCCGGGTGCCTGCTAGGCTGGAGGCCAGCCCGAGGGCCAGTGCTCCCAGCCCCTTGGCTTCCTGGGGGCCAGGGGCCCTCCTTCCGGGCACCTACGAGGCAGGGAGCCAGCCAAGTTTCCATCTTAAATGTGTATAATTTTTACTTGGAAGAAGGCAGAAGGAAGAAAAGAGGAACTACTACATTTGACTGCCATAAATACAATCCAGCCACACTTGACTGGATAAAGAAGGGGGCAACTTATTTATTAAGAGAATTCATAGTTCAGTGGATACCATACTAAACTTTGAAATGAAATATATAAGCCAGGAAAAAATAAGTACAGACTAGAAATAAAAGTTTGCCTGGAAAGCACTAATGTAGACTCCAATTGCCTTCAAATGTTGCTTGTGCCAAAGAACACAGCAAGTTGTTTTATTTATTTTACTTCATACATCTTTTTAAAACTGAACACACTAAAATTGAACTGAGTGAAATACATTAAAACCTGCTTCATAGCCCTGGAGCACAGTAGGGATCCACAAGTATTTGTATTATAGATAACTGACCGTAAAATAATTGAATTGACTTATTTTTAAGTTTTAAAGATTGGTTCCTTTTATGTCAGCTTCCTGGCTTCTTGAAGCTCCAGTCAGGCAAAAATCTTCTCTATAAATAAACCTCCTACTGTCAGGTCCTTTCTGGCTCTCAAAGATCATGGCCTCAGAGCTGGTCATACTTGTCTTTCCATGTGTGTTCTGGTCTCTGTAAGATGAAGGCCAGATTTGTGGTTTGGATGGTGTGTGTCCCCCAAGGTCCTCTGGTAAAGGCTTGGTCTCCTGGCCTCCAGCAGGGCAGTGCTGGGAGACGCTGTGGACCTTTAGGCTGTGGGACCTAATGGGAGTGCCTTAAGTCACTGAGGCTGTGCTTTCAAAGGAGGTTGTAGGACTACAGGTCTCACCCAAGCTCTCACTCCTGCTCTCCCTCTCCCTCTCACTATCCTTGTCCCTGTCTCTCTTCCTCCCTCCCTTCTTCTCTCCCTCCCTCACTTACTCTCTACCCCACACAATGGATTTCCCTGATCTTGGACTTTGAATCTCCAAAACAGTGCGCTAAATAAACTTTGTCTCTTTAAATTAGATGCCTCAGGTGTTTCATTGCAGTAACACAAAGTTGACTACCATAACCCAGGCTGTGGGACTGACCAGCACAGCTTTAGTGGCATTCTTGCTTTAACCCCTCAATGGAGTTTGTCCCCCATATCTTCTGGAGCATGTGGCTGTGGCAAGTTAATTGGTAAGAAGTTGATATTCACTGTCAGTGAACTTGATGTCCATCCAACTCTTCCCCTCACAAACACAATACACAGGGCCTGTATGAACCCTGAAGACTTGGGGAAGGTGGTGTCCTATAATTAGGAAGGGAAACATGAAATGCTACTAAAGATACTGCACATTGTTTAAATTCACACTAAAATTATATAACTACTACTAAGTTATTTCCTGAGAGTTTGTTCTCATTAGGTATGGAGGGAATGGCCTCCCCACCCCCCTTTGTCTACATCCACAAGTTTTCTAAACATGGGGCCTTCATCTGGGAGTCTGTGGTTTGTTCTGAAGACAAGGGAAGTATGACTTGACTGGCGAAAACCCCAAATGGTATTGGGGTGGGAAGAATACAATCAGCAACATTAGACATCTTAGGAAGGCAAGGAAGGTCACAAGAAAATGCGAATTTTATTTCTCAATAATTCATTTATGTGGTAAACTAAACTGTAGTTTTGGAATGCTTGATTGTCAAAGCAAGAAGAAATCTCCAGACCTTCCAGACAAAACATCCATTTTAACGTAAGTAATTGAGTCTCAGAGGAGAGATGATCTTCCCACATACAGACCACCAATGAGTGGCGCAGACAAACTTTACGACCCAAATCTCCTAATTCTTCCTTTTCCACACCCCCCACAACCATTAGAATACAGTTCTGCAAACATCCTCATAAAAACAAGCAAAGCACAAGGAATGGTGGAGCAGTGTCCAAACCGAAAAGCCCGGATGCCAAAATTCAGAGGAACCACTGAGCTAACTATAAGGGTCCCCATTATGTATCTTTGATATCCAGAGGGGTGTTACCTTCACAGATCTTCCTGACAGAGAAGGAAGTCCCTCAGTCCTCTTGGTGCATCCACTTACATCCTTGGATCCTTAGATCCCTGCCCATTCGACCCTTTTCCCAGCCAACATCTCCTCCTTCTAAATCCCATCTATACTTCAAAACCAGCTTAAATTCCAGCTTTCCATTAAGCCTCCCTTGATTTTTTCCACGTCTCCCCAATTATAAATTATCTTTTATAAATGCCCACGCCAAATTTCTAATTCCACTACAGATGCTTATAATACTATTCTGTGTATCATGGCTATTAACATTTGACCTGACTCTTCTATTAATTCTTGAAAGATGAGGCCCTTTCAGCAACTTTGAATCCCTCTGTGGTTTCTTTAACTTATTAGATGACCAGTAAAAGTTCACTGAATTGCTACAGAAAGTCTTTCTCTGCGAAGTTCAGCCTACTTCTTCAGTGGAGATGGGACATAGCTATGAGCTATGGCTTCAGTGTCTGCCCACTTATCCTATTTTCTTCCTTTCCTTGTAGGAAAAAAATACAGTCAAACACTCCAAATCAGGGCCTTTATTCAGGACAGAGGCGGGATTTGTCGGTGTAGTTAAAGTGCCATCGGGGCACTGAGTGAGTGTCCAACATCCAGTGCACCAGACGCGCGTCCTTAGAGAACAGTCCTCGAGAGTCAAGCAGTGTCACCAGGGGACCCAGGGCCAGAGACAAATCATCTTCGGGGTGGGAAGAGGCAAGCTGAGGTAGTGTGAGGGAAGAGGAGGTCCGGGTGTCTGGCAAGGGCAGGAGCAGCAGAGACAGCAGGCGCTCACGGTGCCTCGCAGGACCACTGCTCCAGCTTCTCGGAGCAGAGTGGTTTGTGGGCTAGCCTGACAGTGGAGAAAGGGGAAGCGTGAGTCGGCTGACTGGGGCTTCGCTGGGGTTTTGGATGAACTTAGCTTCATCCTCAGGAGGGCCAAGGTGGATGAAAATCACAGAACGATTTTCCTAGACAGATGGCAAGGGGTACTAGGTTATCTGGAAGAGCAGGGTCCATTTTTTAAATCCAAGAAAAATTCAGGGTAGCTGTAGCCCAAGATATGCAATGATACGTGCTTTAGGGTATAAGTTTAAACAAGTGGTGTTAGAAACCCACAGCCCGACGGAGAGAAGTCTGGGTATCGGGCTTCCACCAGGGCTTGCACTGGAAAAGTTGCCCATGCAAGAGCAGAGCAAGGCAGGCTTCAAAATGGAAAGCTCAGCCTGCCGGATGACTTTTGTTCTGGGCACCATATTCCAGATCAGACGGTCAAGAGAGAGAGGGACTGTGGTGATGGATGAAGAGGTGAGAGGAGGAAGGGTGGGGAAACAGAAAATAAAATGAGGATTCACCAGTGGTCAATTCCTTTGATATCCAGGATCTTCTTGGCACACACGATGTCATCAGTAAGGTCGTCATCCAGGAGCTCTGGCAGGAGTTGTAAAGAAAGGAGTGAGAGAGCCAAGAGACATTACCCAGAGAGATAATGAGTTCCCCCACTCCCTGGGTCTAGTTCTTCTCTAAAATGAATGATTATACCTAGGGTCTTTCTGTATGAAGAGGTCAATACAGTAATGCCTACCTGTGAGTAAGGACTTTCTGCAATTCCCTGGGACATCTCTGAGGTCAGCAGCTCTGTCCATTGAGACCCAGAAAATGCAGAGCATCTGATTTCAACACTCTCAGAGAATTTGGGAGTGTTCACCTCTAAACTTCAGGAGTATTTTGTCTGGGTCTTCGGTGATTGTGAAAAAACCAAGTATCTCCTTACTTAGCAATGTTACTCTCAGTCACACAAGTTTTGTGGATTCTAACCAATTCTAACCACTGAAGCAAGAGGTAGACTTCACCCAAAAAAAGAGATTACCCCAAGGAAGAGCTCCAGAAAAAAAAAGAGAGAAGCAAGGTAGAAGAGTCTACTTACTGTCACATGAAATGTCACATATGTTCCTTGACTGAAGGGTCTGGCTGCTCTCACAGAAATCTTTATCACTTATCTGGAAAAGTCCGTACTCTGTGTTGTCATCATTTTTTACTATGGCTTGTGTGTCATAACCACTGATATGAAATATGATACAGATCCCTGAGGAAAATAGGAGAAAGAACTATCATAGAGACATCTAGGATCCGCATAAATGGGGAATTGTAGTTTCCAGACAGGAAAAACAATAGGGTTTCTAGCCAACCTGCAAAGGAGGTGGCAAAGCATAAAATATCTTCATGAGTTGAAGACAGTTTCAAAAAGGATCAGACACTGGCAGAAAGACAGGAGAACAGATTGAATATGAGTGGACACTAAGCTGAGAATGCCAGAAAACTGTTAGATAACTAAGTGAAAGTGGAGGAGAGGAGATGAGAAGAGGTGGACGGGGGAGACAGATGAGGGGTGGGAGAAACGAGGGAACGGAGAACTCACATTCAGGCAGAGTGACGTTCCCATAGCCAGCAAGGTCCCTCAGCTTGTGGGACAGGGCACACTTTGTAAGTTGCTTGGCCTGCACGGCAGGAAACAGGATGCTCACCAGGAACAGCAGGAACAGGGACCTCATTCTGGCTGCCCCCGTGAAGCTGAAATGGGGACGCCTCTCAGCCTTGCCTCCTTTTATTCAGAGAGAACTCTCCGGGAACACTGGCACCGAGCCCCACATCCAGGAAGAGGACGAGGACAGGCTCATCATGCCAGGACAGACACTCTGAACCTGCCAGCTTCCTTCCACAATTCACCCTGCTTTTCCTTCCCCCTCCCCACATCTAGTCCGTACCAAGAATTGTTCTCTGCCTGTGCTAAGTTCCAAGCATACTTCTGCTTCCCCCTGGCTTTCATCACACCTTTGTTTCTTGTGGGGCTAGTTCTAGGAAGCAGTATGTCCTCAGCCTGCTCTAGGAACAAAGGGATTTTCAGGGCCAATACAAATGAGGCAATCACAAAATACAATAAGGACCCCTAGCCAATTTGTTCTTCCCCACAAAGACATATGGAGTGTGGGAAGGGGGTGTATGTCATCATACCCCATGGTCACAGCTGGCACCTATCTAGCCAACCCAGTCATGGAACAAAGTCGAGGAAGAACCTCTTGCTATGGTGGTTCATGGCCGAGATTGAAGAGGAGATCAGAAAATGGAAACATCCCTTGCTCTTGAGTAGGAAAAACCAATATAGTGAAAAGGCCATACTTTCAAAATTATTAGACAGATTTAATGCAGTCCCAGTCAAAATTCCAACAGCATATTGCACAGAATTAGGAAAATCAATCCTAAAATTCATTTGGAACCAGAAGAGATCTAAAATATAAAGGCAATTCTGGGCAGCAAAGGCAAGGCAGGGGCATCACAATTCCTGACTTGAAATTATACTACAAAGCTACTGTGAAAAAAAACAGCATCGTACTGGTAAAAAAAAAAAAAAAGGATAATGGAACAGATTAGAAGATGCAGAAACAACTCCAGACACTCAGCCACTCAGCCAACTTATCTTTGAAAAAGGGGCCAAACACCTTTGCTGGAAGAAAGATGGCCTCTTTAATAAATGATGCTGGAAAAACTAGCTCTGCACATGCCAAAGATTAAAATTAGACCCATATCTTTCAGCATGCACTAAACTAAAATCGAAATGGATCAAAGATCTAAATACTAAGACAGAAACATTAAATCTGCTGGAAGACAGAATAAGTAGAACATTTGAAGACATTGGTGTAGGCAAGGACTTTATGAATAAAACCCCAATTGCACAGGAACTTTCACAAAAAATCAACAACAGGAATCCCATTTAAAAAAAAAAAAAAAAACTTTTGCCCAGCAAGAGAAACCACCAACAGAGTGAAGAGACAACTCATGATGTGGGAAAAAATGTTTACCAGCTGTTCCTCAGACAAAGGATTACTACTGAGAACATATAAAGAACTCAAAAAAATCAGATCTACCAAATTTAAAGACCCAACTCTAAAATGGGCATCTGAGATGAATACACACTTCTCAGATGAGCAAATACAAATCACAGATAAATATATGAAAAAATGTTGAACATCACTATCATTCACAAAATGCAGATGAAAATAATGCTGCAATTCCATCTCACCCCAGAAAGAATGGCTATTATCAAGAAATCAGCCAATAGCAAGTGCTGGTGAGGCTGTAGGGAAAAAGGAACCCTTTTCCACTGCTGGTGGGAGCATAGACTTGTGCAACTACTGTGGAAATCAGTGTGGAGATTTCTAAAATAATATAGGATTAGAGGTCCCATTCATTCAAGGGGAACCCAGCCATTCCCCTTCTGGGTATCTTCCTGAAAGAATTAAAAGCATTATACCACAGCAATATATGTGCACCCATGTTTATAGCAGCACAGTTTATAATAGCCAAGTCTTGGAAACAGCCCAAATACCCATTAACTGGTAGATGGATGAATAAGATGTGGTTTTTTTATATGATGAAGTACTATTGTGCCATAAAGAAGGATAAACTTGAGACATTTCTAGGTAAATGGATGCAACTCAAAGCCATACTCGTAAGTGAAATAAATCAGACACACGTGTGTAAATACCACATCATTTCTCTGATGTGAGAAACCAAACTGTAAATAAAGACCAAAATATGTAATAGGCATTGTGAAATAAGAAACAAATGTTCAAATGGGAAGGGGAACGATGGAGGGGAAGGGGGGAAGGAAAGAAGGGAAAAGTAAAAATATGAGAAAAGAAGGAAAAACTGGAAACAAGGATTTTGTAAATAGGGAGGGGAGGAGGAGTTGAAGGAGGGTGGGGAAGGGGAGGAAAGAAACAATTTATATCATGCGCAGGTACAGATTCTCCATGATGAGTGTGATCATTATATATTCCTAAAATGTACCAATAAAATCTGATTGGGAGAAAAGGATTTTACAAAGATATATCCGAAATCTGTAAAACACATTCACAAGGGCCAGAGATACAGCTCGGTGGCACAGTGCCTGCTTGGCAAGTGCAAGGTCCTGAGTTTGATTCCCAATACAAAATACCCACACATACCCACACACACACACACACACACACACACACACACACGACTACATTACTATTCAGTCAGCACCGCTGAGCAAGTAGACTTGAGGCTACTAACTAAATAGTTCCTCTAGCTTGCTGATGTCAAGCTTCATGTCATGGTGCCAACAGCTGTTACCCTCCTCCATCTCAGGGTTCATTTTTTTTTCCCCATTTTCTAAATCTAATTTCTTACATATCAGGGAACATCTGTCTCAGCCAAACTGCTGTTTAAAACTTACAACCGAAAGTCTTTCAGCCAAGTGTGGTGCTACATGCCTATTATCCTAGCACATGGGAGGCTGAGGGAGTAGAATCGCTGTGAGTTCAAAGCCAGCCTAAACTACATAGTGAGCTCAATGCCAGCCTGTACTACAGAGTGAGACTCTGTCTCAAAAAAAAAAAAAAAAAGAAAGAAAAGAAAAGAAAAGAAGAAAGTCTTCCAAAATGTTATTAACGCAACTATTCGAAGATGTTCATCTCAGTTTAATCCCATCTTCTGTACTATGGATAACCAGTATATGAACTGGCATGAGTCATACTAGTGTGGATAGATCAAGGTCAAGAGGGATAAGCAAAAAATCCTGACAGGACATAGACTCGTGACCCAAAACACAGCAAAAATGCTGCCACTGAATTTCTCCTCCATTCTACCAGGGACATTGCAAGGGCAGGAACAGGAATTCTACCACACTGAGCAAGTTTGGGCTAGAGATGCGAAGATGACCTTGAGCCATGTGGGAAAGGGACAGATAAAAAGGTTAGTACTGGGCCAGGATAGAACTCAGCGGCATAGCACTCGCCTGGAACGTGCAAGGTCCTAAGTTCAATTCCTGATACCGAAGGACAGAAAGAAAGAAAGAGAGAAAGAAAGAAAGAAAGAAAGAAAGAAAGAAAGAAAGAAAGAAAGAAAGAAAGAAAGAAAGAAAGAAAGGATATAGCTCAGTGGTACAAGCGCCTGCCTGGCAAGCACAAGGTCCTGAGTTTGATTCCTGGTACAAAAAAAAAAAAGAAAGGAAGGAAGGAAGGAAGGAAGGAGGAAAGGTAGGTTAGTACTGAGGACTAGTTTTCCCAATAGTGACGTCTTGTGTAAAAACCCTCCTGCCCGGGCGATGGACTAAGTACCGATGGTAGGTGGGAGGGCAGGGTCAAGACCTAGGGCAGCAGCCAACTTGCCTAAAATTTGATTATATCTCTGCCCTTTCCTGTAAGCAATAAAAAGCAGCGTACAAGCCAGGAACCACAGGCAAACCCAGAAAGGAACATAATTGTGCCTCAGAGAAGAGGAACCACTCTTTCCCTGGAAATGTTTTTCAGTAGGAGATCTGGGGCATCAGAGAAAGAGGACAGATGACGTCCAATGGAAACAACTGCAAACATTCAGAGAAAGACACAGATTCTCAGAGACGGTCCAAGGGGAACAAAAACACTGACCACAGCCTTGACAGAAGTCCACGCAAAGACACAAGCAGCACCGGTGCCCAGATCTCCCTTTCCGGAGTTTAGTAGGATGTTCCACTTGGATTCTGAGATCTGAATCAAAATGATAAAGAGGCATTTACAACACACTTTCCAGGATTTTTTCAGAAATATACTGGAAAGATATGGTTGTTCTCTCAGAGGCTGTGGTAAAAATCAGGGTTTCTAAAACTAGAAATAATTTCTTGGAAGATGTCTAGAAATCACAGGATCAGAAGAATTTGTTCCAAAATACCTTTGCCATCCAAACTGTAGTTTGTAGGTGAGTGGTAGCTTTTCAACGAAGATGACAGCTGCCATTTATTTTTTCTTTTCCTTTTTTGAGACAGGGTCTCTCTGTGCAGTTCAGGCTGGCCTTGAACTCACTTTGTAGCCCAGACTGCTCTCGAACTCACAACAATCCTCCTGCCTCAGCCTCCGGAATGCTGAGATTACAGGTGTGTGCCACCATGCCCGGCAACAGCTACCCTTTGGAGAACACCCAGGGAGCGGCAATAATAGTGAGTGCTACTCCTCACAGTCAGTGTGCTCCCCGTTCTACTACATGCATAATTCCAGGAAATTACCACTGCACAGGGAATGCGGCTGGAACCTGGGTGTGATACCCAAATTTCATACAAATGCTTAGTCAAGTTAGAGTTAATGAAAGCAATTAAATGTGAGTCATTTGTAGAAATGGATACCTAGTGAGACCATAATGTTAAGTAAAATAAATCACATAAACATGAATATCACATGGTTTCTTTCATATGAGAAACCCAAAGTGTAAGTTAAAGAGCAAAGTAAAAGACAGATAATGCGAAGAAGAGAGACAGAGACTTTGCAGGTGGGAAGGGGCTTTAGAGACGGAGGGAAGGAGAGGAGGGGAGAGAAAGGGGAAGAAAAAAGGAAGTGTTGTGAAAGTGCATCCTCTCCCCATGAAGAATG